CTTTATACAACACAGAACCATATATAGGAGTAGGGTTGGACACATGGGCCAGGCTGCAAATTAGTCAGTCAATGATGCATACCAAGAATAGTAGGCTGTATGGAAAATGCATAGACTGTACCAACAGGGATGTACTGTAGCCTGTAGCACATCAGTTCAAAGAAGAACCAGAACAACAACTTACTTAAGTGCATTAGCATGATACCATTTGCTGATTGGCAATAAATACAACATATGACGGCAGACAGATGAGAATGTCATTCGTTTTGCAGGTATTCTGAAGCTAAATGCTAGAGGATTTGTTCCAATACCAATATCATAAATGACCCTGACACTACTTTAAAAGTGGGATCGGGTATCAGCGACTAAACGTGTCTGTGCACCAATAAGATATCACGTAATTTATTAGCTCCAAAAAAGATTCCTGCTACTTCTCAGCAGTGTCCAGTTTGAAGTTCCCCCCATCTGATCCGAGTCATTTAGTATTGATTATCTGCCGATACTTGTATTTTCTTTTTAGATAGTACAGGTGCACATTGCACATTTCAAGTACATTAAAGTTATTAAAATCAATCGAATGTATGTGGTTGACAATTGAATAGTCCAGCAGCGGGGGGGGGCTGCTCTCACACTGACACAGAGATCAGCAGACTCAATAATGCTCAGAATAACCGATATCGACCAGCGCTGATACCGATCTTTGAGATCGGATCATCCCCAGTTATTAGTATACAGCTGTTAAAATGTGTGCAAAGTTCAGATAGCGGAATTGGTATCAGGTAGAAAAAGACAACCTCACAATGGCGCTAGAGGAAATGTCAGGGGTCACCAAAGACAGTAGGAGTCAATCTATCCAATAGTTGTTGAGATATTTCAGTCTGGACCAAAGTGGTGGACCCAGAGACCGACAATGCCACCCCTAGATTTTTTTTATTTTTGTAACTTGTTGACGTATGTACACCACTTGAAATGAGCTTTCCAACACTTTCTGACCAGCATTTCTTTTAAAGTTAACTTTCACATTCAAATGCAGTCTCCATTTAACTGTTTACAGCATTTGTAGAATTCTACTTCAGCATGATGTAAGCATCCTAAGCTAAGGGAAAACAGGTTATCTGTTTCCAAAACACCAGTTTAAGCAATCAATGATTGTAATTTACTGTGAAGTATTCTCTGTAATGACAGCAATGTGTGTGTAGATTGCTAGAATACTATAAAACGTCATCAGGATACTATGAATAGAGCTTAATAAATATTATGTTGAATGCCGTTTACATCACACAATATGATCATCATTCGTGCAACTAAACCCGACCTAATCACAGTGGCCATCCAGTAAGACAGTTAGTCAATACAGTCTGTACAATTGTTAATTATGCGGTTGTCACTCAGTGGAAAGAAAGAGTAGTGATGAGTCCTGGTTGCATAACCCTGACAGATCAGGAAACTTAAGTGATACCTGTGTTTCTGAGTGTCTTGGGTTAAATACAACTCATACCTGTCATAGAATCCATGTCCTCCATCACACTTCATCAGATCAACAGTTACTAGACAAATAACATGCAATTTATAGTGAAGAAATAACCCTTATGGACATTTGCTTTTTATGCTTTAATGTAAGAGAAAATATCCACCACTAAAAATCTGCCAGCATTTGCCTGGGGATGGTATAATTTTCTCATTTGATTAATGGTTCTAAACGCACGGTATGTTTCTCCTGCTACAAGGGGGTCTATTCACATCAAACCAATAACAGATGACGTAGTTTGAGGACACTGCAATGTAGCGTGGGATCTCAGGAGTTGCATCATGTGACACGACTCAGAAATTGTTTAGAGATGGAGAGGAAATGTATTCAAGTTTTACTAAAGTTATGTTTAGTCACATTCACAGACTTCCCTCCTCACTCTGACATATTCAGCGTATCCCACGTTTTCCCTGAAAGTTATAACAACAAAAGGCAAGTAAGAATCGCACCATTAGCTGAATACGTTTACAGTTTTCTCTTGGTTTGAGCATTGTTTGAAACATTTGAAATAATGTAAGAACACAGCTCAACAAAATATGTAACATAGGACTTGTGTTGTTTTGTGACATTTGAACGTGGAAATGTTACATATTATACTTTTAAGATGTAATGTGTCTAAAACAAGATCAGGAAGCCTCTTTCCAAGCAAACATTTGGCATGCATTTAATGAAACCTTAAAACTGTGGATCGGTTTCACAAGAAGCAGTTGGGGTGAATGGGTAAGATGAAGAACAGCAAAGAAACTGTGCTGTCTTGAGTTCAGGTGAACTCACACCTTCAACATGTCATCAAGGTAACCAACACCTTTAACTGTGCTGTTTTGGTCACATAGAAGACTGCTAACACTGTGCTGCATCACAGGCTCTGATCACAATTACTTATGCAGCTGTGTATGAATATTCAGAATAGACCCAGTCAGTGAATGCAACCATAAACAGATGGATCTGATGTGCTGGGGATACACAAACACTATCCCACCAATGTTCCACATTGTCAGATAATTCAATTATTCCACAGAGCAGCAGAACATTTTGATGCTGTATAATCATATATCATCATATAAGTCATCCTGGTACTGTATAACACCTGACAGTTACTGCTGTACACATGGCACAAGCAACCATGACATTTGACTCATTTTATAATAGTCTGATTCTGTCTGCTGCCATGGAAAACTGAGTGGTTTTCATATTTCTGCAAGGACTAAAATAGTCAAACTTAAATAGTTTCTAAACCTAGGGCTTAAAAACATATTGTGATTTATGGGACAGTAGCTGCTGACCAGTTTCAGCTGGAAAACTGCATGCTAACAGCACGCTCTACTTTTATGAGTGTCAAGTGGGTCAGAGACTCTGATGACCCTCTCATGAAAACTAATAACACACACAGTACAACACATGCCATCAGATCGATGGGCAGCTGGCAGATGCACAAGTGAAGCCAATTACAGTACAAGCAACCTGATATGTAGGTTGGGCTTGGCATGTTTTGTAGGCTTGTGAGTTTTTCGATGGTCCAGTAAAAACAGTACATTGTTTTGCCATTTGTTCTGAGGTTTATGTTGTTTTACATGATATTTCTGACTGAGAACAGGCCCTTCAAGTGGTGAAACTCAATTTTGTCAAAAATAAGATGAAAGGAAAGATACCAGGAAAAGGCATATTGTGCTAGTCACGCTGTTTTGCATTGCTTAGAGAGGGTGCAGTGCAGGGGCACAAAGAGGCCTGTCATTACATGATGAAAAATAAGGCCTCTGATAACTGGTTTTAAGACATTTTAAGACTCTTTGAGGCCTTAAATTTTGGTCATCGTGTGGCTGTTGTTAGTGTATTTTTACAAAGGCACATAATTAAGCAATAATGCAGGATGAGGTAGCTCCACATAAAAAGTAACTCAGGAGCTGGAGGTAAAGAAGTGCACATGCCAACCTTGACAGCAAAAAAGAATGCCATTTTCTCTGTAAAGTCCATTGTTGTCTAAAGCAGAACTCCATAGAGTGCATTATCACCATTATACCATTAACCATTAGTACTGTTGCTATGGTAACATAGTTTAATATGTGCTGGGCACTAATTTTAAATAATAGTTTGAATCAAACTGAAAACACTGATAAGCACTGTTTGGCAAGTTACTGAAAAATTGTAATTAGTTACTTCCAATAGCTACTTACCAATTACTGCAGGTAAAAGTAACTAGTTACTCCGTAAAATAAGTTTTGCATTACTATTAAATGTCTGCTTCAATTCTCTCATTAATGCACACAGCTGTCAGATATTATTTTAGCATCGCTGTGGGCTAATTGTATCTAGTAATTAATACGACCACCAGAGAGCAGCAACGAGTAGTGTTCCTACCTGTAAGATACACTTATTGCCTTCAGTAGAAGAAGACCCAGACAGACGTAAACATTAACCAAGCTTTGCTACAGACTGATGAACAGACTGAACTGTCTAGGTCCACCATAAGGTCTGGTCATGCATGCAGCCATATTTTAGCTTTTGTATTATTTTGCATCATTTAAATATTCAGTAAAATGTTCAAGTGGTAAAAATAGAGTACAATCTATTTAAAAATGATTAAAATAAATTCCTTGTTGAACTAGAGGCAATGCGACGTAGTCGAGCAACGTTGTGGGGGTTTTTACATTTCACATCAAAATAAATAAATCAAATCAATGTGTATCCATGATCCTGTAGTTAAAACAATCCAGTTAACTCATTCAGTACCAGTTTATATAGCCTACGCTGTATATTCCAACCCCTGCATAATCACTCAATATTTGCACAGTTGGGGCGCCCGGATAGCTCAGTGGGTAGAGCTGGCGTCCCATGTACCAAGGCTCAATCCTTGCCCAGGGTTCGAATCCGACCAGCGGCCCTTTGCTGCGTGTCATTCTCTCTCTGCCCCCCCTTCCTGTTATCTTCAGCTGTCACTATAATAAAGCCAATAAAAGCCCCAAAAATATATACTTAAAAAAAAACAAATATGCACACAGTGAAGCTGACATGCAACCCCACGCTATAAAGAAGGAGTCACTTCAGCACGTAAAAGCACCCTCCAGAAGAATACACAGATTACTCCACATTCTAAACACTATTAAACTCTAAAATTAAATTAATTGAATTAAAACCAGCGTGGATATGTGTTTCATTATGACGCATTAGCTATATTGACCAAGTTTCAAGGCTCTGCAAGTCGCTTTTGACAATGCATTAAGAAAATTCCATTTAAATGCAAGAGTTGAGAAATGGTAGTCAGTAATGTAAGTTGTAAGCACATAGGATGGGTCCTTTAAGAAAGGAAACTAAAAGAATGCACATCTTAAAGTCTCTGCTAAGTTGCTTGTCCATTGCTACTTCCTGTTTACAACACCAGCAGCAGCTCCACAATCCTTATATTAGGTGCTCAGAGGCCATCAGCCGTCTAATAATGGAGCAGACCTTATAGTATGTGCGTGCGTGTGCGTAATACCTTCAATAGATGGGGCCTGGTCCTGAGCAGCATACAGCATCTCTTTGAAAGCCTGCAGATAGAGAGAGAAATTATGAATATTATATACAACAGTTACATGAAATATCTAATCTTCTGAAACATCTCTACAAGGTTAAAAAATCCCCTGCTTGTTTATGTATGTATGTATGTATGTATGTATGTATGTATGTATGTATGTATGTATGTATATCAGTCTTAGGCTTATTACATAATGTCAAATGCCCCCATATACATACCCTTATAAGATCCCATTGGATGAATGTTTCGTCAAAACAAACTGTCGAGCGCAAATGAAACTTTTATCATACTCTGCGAGTGAATAATTTAAAGTAATGACAGGAAAGGAGATATTTTGAGAAGAGACTCTAAGATTTACAATATGAAATATACCAGAATAATATATGTTATAAGATATAGAAGGAAATGTACTGTGATCGAGGATTCATTTAGAAGTAACTCTTCAGCCCTGTGTGGGATTCCCAAATTAAAGTCTTATACTGGGACACCACTACATTTCAGATGATAAAAACCGAGAAAAGGAGGTTCAAGGGCAAACACGAATGGGAGAACTGGGTAAGTGTCTTGTTCATGGACAGTTAAACAGGGTGGAGGACTACAGACACAGAGCCTGAACCCGGGTTAACCAGTCAAACAGCTTGCTCTTTAAATAGCGCAGCATCATGCCATCCAAAAAGTTGAACTGGTAGCCAACCAATTACCAAAAAGCCAAAGGTAGAGACGGGACAGATCTGATCCATTTTTGGTATCGGATATTGGACTGATGTTGCAGATCCATGAACCGATCCAGATTTTACAGTCTGGTGTTTATATCTGGAGTTTGTTCATTTGACAGTTCATATGTGTGTGTGTTTGAAGATCAGTGAGATACACAGAGGGAGAGGAAGAAAGGAGGTAAAAGACAGAGGGGCAGGCATGCTGCCTGGAGCATGCAGCCAGACTTAGGGTACCTGTCTGGTTGTCTGAAAGTCTTACAGAGAAATCATGAGGGCTGAAAGCACATTTACAAGATATGTATTGGCAGATATCCTAAGTGAGTATAGGATAATTGCTAGTGTAGGGTGAATTTGCCAATATATTCCATGTCAGAGATACTGCTGTAGCTATGGCTTTCATATCACTGGTCTTATTGGATCATTCCAGGCACCGTTGCAAATCACTAAGCAGGACTGGTTTATGGCAATATTGACTAATTTATCCACATCGCCCAATCCTATTAGACACTACATGCACACACACACACACACACACACACACACACACACACACACACACACACACACACACACACACACACACACACACACACACACACACACACACACACACACACACACACACACACACACACTATCTGAAGGCACTGGTCCAGCTCTATCTGTTTAATGGCTGCAACAGACAATTTTGCTATCTGCCTCACTAAAAGGGAAGAAGAGCTGTATAAAAATTTTTTTTTAAAAAAATCACGTTCTGGCATGAGGACATTGAATTTGTAAAAAAACAAACCATAAATTATGTCAACTGAATTTTCAGATTTACCAGCCATAGTCTAAGCTACAAAGGTTTCTGTCATATTGGACCTGTAGAGGGACAAATGCATACCTTATTTTCCAGACTATAAGTCGCTCCGGAGTATAAGTCGCACTTATTTAGAAATGTATTTCACAAAATCCATGACCAAGAATAGACAGAGACTATGTAACTGGACAACAAAGATTGAGAATTCTACCGGGAATGTTAATGAAGATGAAAGAGTGAAATGAGGTGAGCTGGGCGATATGAAGGCGGCCAATTTACAAAAGATTCACTGAACAAAAATGCAGATGTGGTACATGAAAATTTAGCTAAAAATGTGGAGAATGCAATGCAATCAAGCATTTTGGGCGATGTCTAGGCAAACGCCGGCAGCAGAGCAAATACTCGGGAGGCTACCTTATTTAGAAATTTATTTTACATCATCCAAGACCAAGAACAGACATTCAAACAGGAAATGCAAGTTAAACACAATAGCACACAGAAATGAACATAACACACCACCGAGTCCAACAGGCAAGTACCAGTAGCAAGTTCACCATCCATTGAATTCTTTGTCCTCCGTGTCACTTCTGAACATAGTTGTATATATAACGGCTCTGGGTGTCACAAGCCTAGAGCGCCTTCTTGCGGCTGTGGACGGTAATGTTTAGGCTACTCCTCGTTTCATGTCGGAATTATTATTCAAAAACCATGTTAAATTTCATATATAAGTCGCACCTGACTATAAGTCGCAAGACCAGCCAAACTATGGAAAAAAGTGCGACTTAATAGTCCGGAAAATACGGTACTTAATGTGGTGATCTTTACAGGAAATGCTTTCTCAACTGGTGGGTTGCTGACTTGTACTGAATCAGAGTGTGTGGTCAGAACAAAAATGCTTTTTAAATGATTAGCTCGTCAAACTTTATCATTATTTTGACAGAAAAGCTTCCAATGTCGGTTACGTGAAAAGAGCCTTATGCAGTCTGATGTTAATTTTATTCATATTTATTCCTCTTCATATGAATCTGCAGCATGCCGCGATGTAAAGAAATTTAAGAACAGATGAGAAACAAAATCATTGACATCTATCAGTCTGGAAAGGGTTACAAAGCCATTTCTAAGGCTTTGGGACTCCAGCAACAGTGGTGAACCTTCCCAGGGGTGGCCGGCCTACCAAAATTACTCCAAGAGTGCATCAAGGACTGATCCAGGAGGTCACAAAATAACCCAGAACAACATCTAAAGAAGTCAGTGTTCATGACTCAACAATAAGAAAGAGACTGGGCAAAAATGGCATCCATGGGAGAGTTCCAAGACGAAAACCACTGCTGACCAAAAAGAACACAAAGACTTGCTCACAAAAACATCTCGATGATCCCCAAGACTTTTGGGAAAATATTCTGGACTGACGAGACAAAAGTTGAACTTTTTGGAAGGTGTGCATCCCGTTACATCTGGCGTAAAACTAACGCAGCATTTCATGAAGAGAACATCATACCAACACTCAAACATGGAGGTGGTGTGATGGTCTGGGGCTGCTTTGCTGCTTCAGGACCTCAACGACTTGCCGTAATTAATGGAACCATGAATTCTGCTCTCTACCAGAAAATCCTGAAGGAGAATGTCCAACCATCAGTTTGTGACGTTGTGAAGTTCAAGCACACTTGGGTTATGCAGCAGGACAATGATTTGAAACACACCAGGAGGTCCACCTCTGAATGGCTTAAAAAAAACCAAAATGAAGGTTTTGGAGTGGCCTAGTCAAAGTCCGGACTTAAATCCAATTGAGATGCTGCGGCATGACCTTAAACAGGCTGTTCATGCTCGAAAACCCTCCAATGTGGCTGAACTAAAACAACTGCAAAGAAGAGTGGGCCAAAATTCCTCCATAACGATGTGAAAGACTCATTGCCAGATATTGCAAATGCTTGACTGCAGTTGTTACTGCTGAGGGTGGCCCAACCAGTTTTTAGGTTTAGGGGGCAATTACTTTTTCACATAGGTCCAGGTAGGTTTAGATTCCCTTTTCCCCCTTAATAAATAAAATCATCATTTAAAAACTGCATTTTGTATTTACTCAGGTTATCTTTGTCTAATATTAAAATTGGTTTGATGATCTGAAACATTTAAGTGTGACAAATATGGAAACAAATAAGAAATCAGAAAGGGGGCAAATACTTTTTCACAGCACTGTGTGTGTGTGTGTGTGTGTGTGTGTGTGTGTGTGTGTGTGTACGTGTGTATACTAGCCATATGACTCCGTCCGTGTGTAATGTGCATTTACGTGTGTAGAATATGCAAGGCATTCAGATCTAATACCACCATCCCTGAATGTAGGGATGAAAATATGTGTACATTTTATGTTAAAAAAAGTCATGATGACATTGTGTATGCATTTACTTGCCTATTTTGGCCAAATAGTTGTGACATGAAATTTTAATGTAGTTTCATGCCTAGTTCTATAATAATTCTAGAAAACTTAAAACCGACCATGGGGAAATTTGGGTCCCAGAACCACTGGTCCAGACAACACAAGTGGGCCAGAACTGCACATTTAATAGTAGTAATTTTTTGACAATAATGTTTCCGACATGTGTGACATTGCACTGATGTTTTGGATCATTTTGCCATTCTGGCTCTCCCTCCATCCTTTAATAATGTAGTGCTGATGATGCAGCTGGTCAGTCTCCTTCATGTTCTGTGTCAGTAAATCTGCAGTGTATGCTGCAGCCCGTCTCGCTGTGGAGAGGGCGAGTGGACAGTCATTCAGTCTCAGTAAATACTAGCAGGACAGCAGGACAGTCACCCTCTTTCTTTCGCCCCGCTCAAGGGGTGGATAGTAGAGCGCTCAGTTAGTCAGTCAGTGTTTCAGAATGCCAGCAGAGCACAAGACCACAATGGCCTCACTGTGCGCCAGCCCGCCAGCCAACCAGTCAAAGAGCAGCAGAGCTGGCTTCTGCAGCGAACGACAGAGCAAGTCAAGGTCACGCTGTAGCCCACACAGCCAGCTTATACTCTAACCAGTGCAGCCACTTCAACAGTGTAAACAACAACACAAACAGCAAAACACGAGACAAAAACACACCAAAGTTTTACAAAGACATTAATAAGAAGGCATCCTCAAGTGTGCCTGCCATTCTACATTTAGTCACATGAGTTGAGTTTTGTACAAATTCCTAGCTGACCAAAAAATAATATGTGTATAAGTATAAGGGTAAAGGATTGTATTAATGTTGTTCTGATATTTCTGTCACAAACGGGACACACAGGGACTACAGGAACCTGTCCTTACCCAGAGACAGAGAGAAAGCTGCAGGTTCACATGTACCACATGGCCGTGCAGTGACAACAAATCATTGCGTGTCCATTGACTCACTATAAAAACAGAGCTATAATCTGTGGAGGGATTTCAGGATCGATACGAAACCTTTTGCCACTGCAACATGACATTAAACACTCAGCAGGCAGAGGAGATAGAGAGGAGTTTCAAATATT